GACTACTTTCACTTTCAGTTCCATAATTCAGATTTTTGTTTCACATCCTGGTCCGTGAGAAAGCAACAGGTCCACAGATTTATGTTTCACTTTGGTGAAGTTTCCCTTCTGTATGTAACAGAGATGATGCAATCCACTGTAAAAGTGACAAACCAGACAGTTATTTTAATGCAGTGATTAATTTTACCTATAAAAAATATTAAATTTTACATCACATCATGGATCACATACTGATCAGATGCTTCTGCTGACTGATCCATGACGTAACATTTTCTACGTATAGGTAAAATTAATCACTACAATAAAATAACTTTGTCTGCTTTTGTCACTTTTACAATGGATTGCATCAACTCTGTTACATACAGAAGGGAAACTTCACCAAAGTGAAACATAAATCTGTGGACCTGTGGCTTTCTCAAGGACCAGGATGTGACACAAAAATTTGAATTATAGAACTGAAATTCAGTTTCAATTTAGTGAAATTTATTTTCAAACCAATGCGTTCAATTTCAAATTCTGCACATTCAGATTCAATCTGAGCATTTCAAATTCAATTCCTGCTRGCACAAGATTTATCCCATAATTATCTTTTAGATGGCCACCCATCCTGAGCCTGGTTCTGTTGGAGGTTTCTTCCTGTTAARACGAAGTCATTCCTTTCCACTGTCRCCTCTGTGCTACTCAGGATGGAGGGTTATGACAAAGTGAAGCTCCAACGCAATCTGCTAGCTTAGATAAGTAACGTWTACCTATTTGCATTTCATAATGTACTATAAGTAAATACATTGTTTTATAAGTGGAATAAATTTACTGATTGTGGATCTGAATTGAACTGAGACGACTTATTGTGAATTGGAGCGATATTTAAAAAAAAAACACAAACAAAACTGAACTGAGTTGAACTAAAGACTGAAGCATGTTGTCTTTCTGTGGAGAAACTACTCCGGCTTTTTAGCTTTCTAATATCATAGAAAATGAGGCCCCAGCAGCAAGAAACATCCTGTTCTCCCACAACAAGGTAAACAGCTTGTTGTCCCCCTGGCATACAAACCAAGGCCATTGTTTCAGAGGGAGCTCATTTCAAACTAAACACTGGCAGCCACAAGCTCCATCAATATGCCATCGACTCTCCTTGTCCAAGWAGAGCGAGCTTTCCCTCTCATGTCGCTTCTACCTGGGAGGTTTTCATCTGCCGCCTGAGCAATAAAACAACACGAGCCTTCCCATTTTTGTTTCATCACGACAGCATGCRGCCACTTCCTCCAGCCCTCGCTCTGCTCTTTCCATGTGTTCTAGTTAAGAGTCTTCCCGTTTCTCTCTACCGCCCATMCTTAATGGCTATTTTGCTCATCTCCTGCAGCAGTGGTGAGCACAAAAACACACAACACACATACAAACAACACGCGGTAATGCGTACAGAGAGAAACTGGCTGACGCATCAAGCTGGAAGAGCAGAATCAATGTTGAGTTCACAGCAGAGTGTTTCATTTTGCCGCCCACTGTTAAACAACAACAACAACAAAAATCCTTATCAGGCTCTTATAGGTAAACGTTTCCTCTCCGCAGGTTACATACTCGGAGTCTTTAAACCTAAGATAAACAAAATGAGTTGTCTACAAAATCCCTTTATCACTTTAAAAAAAATAAATTAATTCCTGTCAGCATAATTGGCAATAAATAATAGGAGGCGAAGATTATTTAAAGAAATCCTTATCGTCTGCCACATTTCATGGCAGAGATTTCACAGCCATATCTCCAGAGATGTGTTAATGCTCAGAGTATATGGTGAAAATAAATCTCAGCTATTTCCACACTATATTTTAGCTCAGTGTGGGTAAAACTGACCAAGTTATTACTGTTTTGGCTAATAATTAACTGTGGCAGTCATCTTCTATTGGGTTGACTCCAAAAAGTAAATCAGTTCTTGATGTATTTATAATTTCAGTTTAGTTTTAGTTAACCAGGCAAATCCCATTGAGATCACATATCTTTTGAAAGGGYGGTCTGGGCCAAGGTTATAATAGTTTGGGATTTTTCAATTTAGTTTAGTTTTATTTCATTGTGACTTGTTTTCTTTTAATTCAGTCAGTTTTACTTAGGTTTTACAGTGGATTTTCTCGTTTTTAGTAGTTTTTATTGCATTTTAATGCTTAGTTTTAGTTTAGTTTTCATTGGATCTAGTATTAGTTTTTTTATAGTTTATTTGCCAATGCATCCTCAAGCTTGTGATGTTCCTGTGAGTTAACTAACCAACAGCTATTTGGCCACCAGTTAACACAGTCCATTATAGTGACACCTTCCTAAATTAATTGTGTAATTTTGTCAACTAAGGATTTGGGTGATTATTTTAGGACGATGACAATAGTTGTCTCCGACCCAGTGCTATCTGTTGCTTGTTTTTCACGGGAGCTACTGAGAGAAACTAGCGTGTCAAGATACTCTTAGTCAGCCATCTTGTTCTAGCTTGATTCATGTAGTTTTTCTCTTGAGAAATATTCCACCTATTTTATCACCTGTTTCCACTACGACACTTGCTTTTATTTTTCTCACAGTCATATTCAAAGAAATCCCAAAGTGGATGTCACCGCTTTCTCTCGACTTTTGCTGTCGTCATTTGTCAGGCAATGCTGAGCAGCAGCAAACTGTAAACATGTGTTACGGCCACAGCTAATGTGAAACTACTCGATTTGAAAAAAAAAAGATCCACATGGCTCAAAATAAATCGACAAACACTAAAACTAATGATATTCTACCTATAATTTCAGTAAGTTTTAGTTAAACGTTTATACAGTTTTAGTTAGTTATCGTTTTTTCCATTTTATTACAGTTTTGATTTATTGTAATTACCTAAATCTTTTTTTCAATTTCAGTTTTCGTTATTTAGTTAGTTTTAGTTAACTATAATAACCCTGGTCTGAGCCAGAAGACAACCTTTTGAATTTTTGGTTTGTGGGAGGAAACTGGAGCACCCGGAGAAAACCCACTCAAGCATAAAAACAAGCAAGCTCCACACAGAAAGACACMAGGTCTGAACCGGGAATCAAACCCAGGACCTTCTTGCTGTGAAGCATCAGTGTTAACCACTGATCCATCAGGCTGCCAAAACATTTATACACTCAATGATTGTTTTCTAAAAGTTTCATTAAAATCCATGGTGGGTCATGACATATTTTCTTGACAAATGTATCATAGAGTTCAATAGTTAACGATAAAGTTTTAAAAACAGCTTTTATTAGATTAGTTAGATCTCAGAGCATGGATCACAACTATCACCACAAACCATTTGAGCTTAATATGATAAAAACTGGCAGAGTTATAATCATTTTTATGTGTGCTGTTATAATTTAGCTGTGGCTGCCATCTTAAAWGGAACTGACTCTAATTGTTAATGAGTTGTAGATGCACAATGATTACTATCTGAGAGTTTCATTCAAATCTGTCCACTACTTCATGAGATTTTACTAAAGATACAGACACAAATACACACTCACAGGCCCGGGCAAAAACATTATTGATCTTATTTCGCCTTTGGCAGCAGGCAATAAAAGCAGCGTAATATTCACTGCACATCTGACTGTTGGTGGGGGATGAAAAAAAGGAAATTAGATCAAAAATAAATAGTATTATTTATACTTACTCCACGTAATATGTTCCATATTGTGGGTCATCAATTTCCTCCCAGCCGTAGGGTAACTCTAAAAAAAAAACAACAACAATAAGAAAGAAAGAAATTATAATAATGTGTCACTGTGTTCTAAAAGATGCAAGTAATCTGGGCAAATGAGAAAAAAAAAACAAGCACAATGTTTATGACATGTCTGCAAATTGTAGCACTTTTAACTTAATGTTAATAGTGCTTTTTTTTACTTGTATAGAAAAAAAGAGCAAAAAAATAAAAATTGCACCAATTTCGAGAACATTCCTGTGGTTTTCAATAAGCAGGTGGACTGGAATGGTCGATGTACATCATGTCCTGATGAAAATATCAGGCAAAAAAACAGAGAAAAGAAAGAGAGAGAGAGAAAAGCTCTTAACGCAAGAAGGAGCTTTGAGTTGCCTTTCAGAAGCACTGACAAGCTTTCTGTTGTAAAAACCCATTAAAACCAGGCTGAAGGGTCCCACTCCTTCAGTCGTGGCCACTCTTTGTTTCTGCCTGCACTTAAACCCACATTATCAACTGGGGACACAAAGACATGTCCGGAGATCCTTTAAGCAGGCCCCCGGCGGCAGATTTCTTACAAGCTATGTGCAACTTCGAGCTCAAGCTGAGCACGAAGATTTGACAATTTTATAAATACGTGAATAGATGTGTAATAAATGGCAACAGAGCCTTGTGTAAATGTGGACTGAGCTGTGCAGAATGTGTTTAAGTAGAGCAGAGGAGTCGAGGTTCACAGTACATACCGCCATCCTCACACTTCTCGGGGGGCTTCGCCTTCTTCGCCAAGCGGGGGTCCAGCCATGTGGTTGTTTTAGTGTTGTGACTGCAGAGGACAGACACAGCAGCCGGTAAATATCAACAAGAATGACCCGTGGCAACAGGAAAACAGCTGCCAAAGCGCAGGCAGCGACCGTAAAGGCGAGGAGCKACTGTACTCGCCTGCATTATTTACTCGTGCGTACATACGGGTGGTTTCTGCATCTTCTATCTAGGTGGTCTTTCAGCTGGGAGAATGTGAAACGTGACACATTTCCTCAAATAGATGAAATGATAGATCTAGCACTACTTGGTGAATGCATGCC